CTGGAATACTATTCTAATTTCAACTCCACTCATCATTTACATCTCTCACTTCGTCACTCTTTTACTGCAAAACCTCTGATTTCATATGCTTTGTAGCAATGGGCTCAGCTCTTTTCTTTTGATATGACACCACTATCTATAAGTAGTTGTTTCCAACACTTTTTAATTTTCTTCTTATGCGGTGATACTATTAACGTGCCCATGTAAGGAAGATCACAAAGGCACTGAAGAACCATTATATATAAATGTAAAGTTGTGATGAACATATACATGGCAATGTCAGGAGTGCTGTTTAGGTATGTTGGTAGTGGAAATAAGATTGTCATTTGGTAAAATATGGTAAAAGTAGAGTTAAGAAATAAGATCTATAAAAAGGTCAAAATATGTGTACTTGTGTTGTTGGTAAGATTAAGGAAACACTTTAAAACAAGAGCCACTAAAAGGTCAAAATGTGTGTGCTGCTGTTGGTGATAAATTAGGTTGCTAGTTCTCAGTAGTTTTGTGCAAAAACCCTTGTCAACTCTTCTCTTTCTTAGTAACTACAAACCAAGAACATGTAATGGTAAGTTATACTAGGCCAGGAGAAAATGTTGATCATTATATTTCCAGTGGACAAGATCATAAAATCGGTCCCAGCAGGGTGACCCTTCGGAGGGCAACTCGAACTAATGGTCTAAATGTAATTATTGATCCAGAAGACTGTACTTGGGAAGACGATAGAGATAGAGCAATCGAGAAGTTAAAAGTTCCTATACCCTAATCAGCTCTTAGGCTCTAAGCTCATGATAAAGAAAGCAAACCATTTAATCTTTGGGACCTAGCAGAGCACTTCCAGGCAATCCACCGGATGATCATGCATGTATCAAACATTGTCCCGTGTCAACTTATCTTGACTGCTTGATGTGAGATTTCTCCCTTAAATTACTTTATAAATACTACTGCAGTGAAAAAAAGGGTGTATTTGGAAGACTTCTCAAAAGACTGCAAAGGTAAACCATAAGTGGAATGCTGTAATGAATATGTATTCTAAGTGTTGGATTTGCTATAATTAGAAAAGATCGGCACTCTGTTCGTTCAATGGTTCAAAAGTTGAGATTGCAGCAGTTTGTGCTTTGTAGTATCAATGTAATAAACTTTTTATGGCACAATCGTGTGTTTGAATTGTGTTGAGTATGGCATAGTTTTGGATGTAACTATGTAAGATACATGCATTTGAGGCAGGTCTGACACAGTAATAGTGAAGAGTTAGTAGTGCTTCCTTTCCCCATGACCACCATGTGAATGTGAAATGAAGGATGTCTCCCACCCACCACATCCACCATCACTCCACCACCACTACACATGTTTTCTTGTTTCTTCACTATTCACTCACTTCATTTGTTTTATTGTAATTTCTTTTATTTAATTATCACCAAACATGTTTCTAACTATATTTGGTAAACAAATAATCATCTTTTCAATACTCACAATGGAGAGATTGTGTTGTAAAAGGCTAAAAGCAATGAGCAAGAAAATAACTGAATAAGTTGGCCCACTCCATTGTCAAACACACAGAAAGTTTAGCTCCCTCCACTAAGTATTCCACACATTTGTTTTCCCATTATGAATTTTACTTCCCATGTTTTGATCATAAATTTGCAGAATAACTGAATAAGTTGACATTTCATTAACATGATTGAAAATGATGGAAAACATTCTGGAGCAGAAAGAATATTTTTATCCTTGGCCAACTACATCAATTTCTTTACAACATTATAGAAATTGCATACTATGGCTACCATAAATTTCAATAAGTACCTTTTTTTCGCATCAAATTTATGGTATTCCTACAGAGCTATCACTATTATGATGCAACTTGTGAAAACAAACTTACTAAGCATCAAAAAGCTAACAAATATGGTCTTCTGATTGAAATATTTTGTGGAGAAAATCCTGAAAACGAGTTGAATACATCTTAGGATTCACAGCTGAAATTGACCGAGAATCAAAATGTAGTGATTTGTACATGTGCTCAATGCGTTTCTTCATACTGTATCCCTGAAGAATCTCTACTATTCCAAAAAATAGTTTTACATTGAAAGATTCTCCAGTCCCAAATAACCTGTGCGTTGACATGCTTCCTGCATCAAATCTGTGAATCTGGACAGCACGTGCTGGAGCTTCCCTTCCAAGTTTAACATCAGGCCTGCAATGTAATTCAATGTCCAAGACACATTAGCAAGAATACAGCCATACAGGTATTGCTGCCTGCAAAGGCCTATACTATGTATTGCAAGCTGCAATCCAAAACTATTCTGCAATCAGTCCTCCAGTGGCTAGATAATGACAAAGTAATAGGCATTGAATTATTTTTCCATTCAGTGGTTTTCAGTGAATATTGAATAATTGTCATCAAATCTACCAAATTGTACAACCACTAAAAATTAATACAAGATCAATTGTGGGAGCTTTTACTGCGTTTAAAACAGACAAGCAAATGTATAGTCTACAGTTATCCCAGAAATAAAAGGTAAACTGTGCTGTTAGATTTCAATGAAAAATAAGAAAGAAATCTTACTCATAGTAATGTTGATTGTCACTAAGACTTGACTCCGCGTTCACTTGTGCCCACGAAGAATCTGGAGGTAATGAGAACCTACTATCAAGAGTTCGGTCGTCAGGTATTTCTGCACAAAACATACAACCCAATCGTAGTCTCAGGAGGCCTCTGTAACAGCTAAAACCAGATAGAAATAATTTGGATTATACATATGAAGAAAAGATTGACGAACATTATCATCTTTCCATGATCTTAGTAGGTCATATACTTGGTTAACATTTCTTGATGAATATCGTCTAACTGTTACTCATGTCTCTATCTGTCTCAAGTCTACCATAACTCAAGTAGGGTACCACATGGCGAAAAAGGATAGTTATCATAGAAATGCTAACATTCTAATTAAGTGACTAATAATTCATCAGTTTATAGATGTAACTTACATATATTGTCCATCAGACAAGTGCAATGAACAAGACGGTGGTGGCTTAAACAAAAACGTAAAATTACAAGTAATATCTGTTGTGGATATAAAGAAGATGGTAAAATGGAGGAGTAAATGATACATAGAAAGAGTAACATTTTAAGTATTTGGAGACATGTGAAGTTTAAATATAAGAATTTTGTTTGCATGACTTTGAACAGACCTAGAGAAGGGCCACTTAAGCATTTGAACAGACCAAGATGGTGTCAGCCAAATGCCCCTCCAATACTGAGATATATTCTCACCAGTGGTTTTCCCTTAAGGTGATATTAATTCTAGGGTCTGCAACCTAGAAGGCTAGAAGTCTCCTATATGATACTTATCATTCACTCCACACGATAAGAAAGATCCATTCAATGAAATATCTACAGACATCATCATGGAGCTACAACAACTACAGAGATAATTTGGTGCAGCTGCACAATACACAGAGGTCCTGACTTTGACCATGAAGGATCATATATGAGATCAACTTAAACATCCTTTCTTGTGCAGATGATAGTGATACTAATTATCTTCTAAAGAGAAAATTTCCAAGTTCTGAAGATCATATATAAATTTGGTTAGAACTCTTCTATAAATACATTTGCGTTTATTTAGATGTGGTTTCATTTAAACATATAAGTCTAGAGGACGGAGTATTTCATAATCCTCGAATTTTGCACACATAAA